ACGAATTGAAGTCAAGGAGGAAGTCAAACCTGATTTGAGGTGGTGGGATATAATCTAGAATTCAAGCTGTCTTGACTAGTTTTCATGCTAGTTGACTATAAGACATGTCCCGCTTTTTTTCTGATTTATTTAGGTCTGCATGCAGTGACGGGATGAATGGTTACATATCCCCTTGTGCTGGAGAAACACAGCCTCCTATTTTCAGGTCTCCAATCAAGGACATGGAAGATATTTTGGCCAATGAAGTCATGTAAGTTCCAATTATTGATGCTCTATTTATTTATTTAATGTTCATATGCACAGAGCAGGTTATTGAATGAAGAGATACATTAATGTTCTTTTGGACGCTGCCTTTACAGATGTTGTACATATAGACTTCCAAAAGCTCATAAGCATATCACCCATCCTACACCGGGAGTTGCTTTCCCTCCTAAGGTATGTAGCAGCTGTAGTTCTCTGCTTAATGGTAGATGTACTTGTTTTTTAGTTTCTTTTAAAGTAATGCCGTATAACCTATAATTTAATCTACTTTTTCCTGTTCTGTATCATCTTAACTTCGGCGTTGTTTGGTAAACTGAAGAGTTAAGTAATGAATTTTATTACTGAATTTATATAATAAAATTGTTCTATATTTTAGTAAAAAAAAAATGTACCTAATATAATCATATTGTTTGATAGTAAATTTTAATTTTTGAAAATTCCTTTTTCCATAAGTGGAGAATTTATTTCAGATTTAAGCTTTTGAAGAATAAAATAAATTTAATATTTTCAACATTAAGTGATAAGTAACTATCTACTTAACAAAACTTTTTCTCTGGAAATTTTTTTAACAAGTAAAAATTTAAAATGGTGTTATCAAATACAATTAAAAAATTAAGTGTTGAAAAAAAGTTATTTTTCAATGAAATGAAAATTTAAAATGGTGCTAACCAAATTTTGTAGCTGTAGCTGATTTTCTGAATTTGCAAATATTAGATATGACCAATTGAAACAGCTTAGTTTTGTTTGCACCTGCATAAACATATTCCTGAAAGTTTCTTGCTTACCAGACTCAATAACTCCTAGATAGCATTACAGACTCCATTCTGGAAAAATAGCCTCCTCACGCTTGTGTGCAATATCCTCAGACTGCCATGCCAGAAGCAAATTTTAGTATAAAAACAATGTTAGGCTTGTTCTATACACTAGACCCCCCCAAAAAGAGGAAAAAATAATTTCAATATGAGTAAGCTTTGCTTACTTTACAAATGGAGGGAAAACATGTTTGACAAGATTGATTTAGCCACAAGACTTCTATAACTTTCAACATTATTGTTTTCAGATGGTGCAATTCAGTGATTTAAAACCCGAACCTGTTTTATGGCATGAAGATTCTGGGAGGAGACCTTGGGATGGAAGGCAGGCTGCAGCTAATCATCATATGGATAGGTCAGTATTTAAAAGATGGTATATTTGTTTCTGAAGTTACCTTTTTCTTGCCACAGTTCATGTCATTCGCTGCTAACACATTTACTACCTATTTAACATGTTTTTCCTTTTCCTTTCTGGCATAACCCTTCAGGATCTCTTTCTGGCCATAAGCTTGGGGAAGCGTCACACAGACTTATTGCTAATAGCTTACAGATGAAGAGGGATCGTAATGGGTTTAACAATAATTTTCAGGCTCCACCACCATATGCCGGTTTCCCTATAACCCACCAGTCAATTCCAAAGTAAATTATGGGTTTCATAACCAGGGACAGTCTGGTATGGTTCCTCCTGGACAAGATTATTCTGGTGTGGGTCACCAATTTTCTCATAATCCACCTTCACGTAATCCAAATTCCCACAGCTACCATAACTACCAAATAAATGACCAAGTAGCTGCCAATAACATGCAGTACCCTCCAAGATATCGTCAGAGTGGTGGATCAAGGCACATTCCTATTGCACAAATGTCAACTGAGGCTGATATCTACCCTTCTCATCCAGGCCGTTATGACAGCAACCACCGGTACCAGGGACCTGAAAACAGTAGCTATTCGCGGTGGGGTGGTAGAATGGCTCCCCAGGCCGACCAAAATGTTTCTGGAGGGTATGGCTTATATCAACAAGGTGGAGTTAACCAGGGTTTCCATAGAGGGCATGAACCGCGGCAACAAAGAGGTATCCAATCCTATCATCACCATCAGAGGGGAGAGTATGAAGAAAGAGGAAGCCAGCCATACAGGGACAATCAACAGTATTATGGTGGCAACCAACAGCAAGGGGGAGAGGGTAATCAACAACAGAGAGGAAACCCGTATTCAGCGTTAGACAGGAGAGGTCATCGGAGGCCCCCCAACCACTGAAAGGCCCTCTCTAACCGGTATTATCTAGTTCGATGTTTGCTGTATAATACTTGTGCGAAGGTCGATAATTGTTGCTTTGTTTACTTTGTCTTCTTGCCTAGATTTTTTTTTACCTCCTGTTAGATTGTACCCTTATAACTTCCAAGGTGGGGATTTTTTACTCCATTTTGGTGATTTCCCCGTCTTTCATAAGTGACATTGTACCAATAAATGTCTTCAATAATATTAAACTCGATTTGAATATTCTTGTAAACAGAGAAAATGGTTGTCGTTTTATTTTTGGCAGTGGAGAACACCTTAATATGCTCAAGATTGGGAGATATTAACCAAAACAGTGCGTTCTAATATCTTATTTTTTTTTTATTAATCTAGGGTGATTACAAAATAACATATGTTCTAAAGATTTTTCACAAATTTCAAATACCCTTGTAGTCTCAATACTCTTGGAGTCTTTGGTGTTCAAACATGAGACTTCTAGAGATATTAATCATCTCCTTAAATCATTGAGGTAGTTTGATTCCATGGATAAAATGTTTGCTTTATACTTAATTTATTGACAAATTTTTTAAAAGTATTTTAATTTTATTTCAGATAATATATTATTTTGTTAATTAATGATGTATAGAATTATACAATGTCGACATACTAAATATTAATCTTAAAATTTGTCATTTATATAATGGCAAAGCTATCATTGTCTTGTTATTTGTAGATTATAGTCTTATAGATAGTTTTAGCTACCATTATTTTATCGTTTTTGAGGAATAAGTAAGCCTGCTTCATGGAACAATACAAAATTGATTCAAATCATAATCAACGTCGCTATATTTATTGTTTATATTGATGGAACAATTTTTTGTTTAGCTACATTAAAAATTTAAGACTCCTTAATTAGAGATCGAAAGCTATTATTTGTGTGTTGGAGGAATAGGAAGGTAAAATCCTAAACCTCGAAACATTAATTAACAAGTTAATTATTAAGCCCCACTTATAAAGGAACACACAACTAGTATTGATTTTGTTTTGTGAAGAGAATATATTATCTTGTTAATGAAACTCGCAGAAATTGTGGCAGAACCTCATGATTGTTCCACTGCTTGAAGTAGTTTAAAGATGAAAGTACGAGACACAATCATGTTTGTCTTAACCCCCACTCTTAATCATTTCATCTCAGCTCTTCTCATCATCTTTCACCCTTCCCCATGGGTATTTCTTCCCCTACTGTTTCTCTGACTTACTTTTCCGATTGATCCATGTACGGAGGGTAAAAACTATGAATATTAGCTTGTTAGGACCACAAATTGGTTGCCTTAGAAATGCCTAAAAACCTTACTTGTTTAGCATTAGACAAACTTACCTAATCAATGAATGATCATAGCTTTTTTAATAAGGCCGCCAAAGAACATAGTACTAGCATTTTGGCATGTCTTTAGGTGGAGAGATTTTGAGATCAACACAGTAAAAGTGAATAATTACAATGACCCCACAAATGTTCATGTCCTAGGTTAAAGACCCTTCTTATGGGGCATTCTCTTTTAATGGGACAATGAGGGTCACTGCTCATCATTCACCTGCACAAATCACAATCCTTTATGCATCTTTTATCTTTTCAAGTATATTCATGCATGAATTAATTGCTTATGCTTCAGTTCATTCATGGTAAAAACAGCAATACGCACTTATATACATAAACGACAAGTGATGTGAGGCACAATACAAAAATGATTTCTGCACATGGTGTTTGCCGATGCACTTTGAGACTTCCAAAAACCCTCCAACTTTATGAAATTTTCACAATGAATCGCACACATGATCTGGAAAGTGGCAAATCAGAATCCTGAGAGCGAGACTACAAATTTACAATGTTGCTGAAACCCTTCAAGCCACACTACTTTATTTCTCATCTGCAAATGAAGCTCTTACATCGTTTCCGCAAGTTCCTTACGCGGCTTTTGTTTTCTTCCCTCCCTTCCGGTGGATCTTCTGGCAAGTCATCGAGTGTGGCTTCCAAGCAAAACAACAGCGACAGGTTTGATCCACCCAAGATTTCATGCAGCTCTTATTACTCTTCCCACTCCCATTACACCGAGGCCATTGCTGACTGCATTGAGTTCTTCAACAAGTCATCACAAGAGGGGATTTTGGAGGGTCGAAAATCTGATGTTTGGGTTTAATATTTCATCATCATCATATATATAAATATATGATATGCCGTTGTTAATCATGTGTGCTACTGCTTTTTGTTTGAGTAGAAAATCTGATGTTTGGGTCATATTTCCTTTTCTTTATTGTTTGGAAGTTTATTTTTATTAATGCATGGCAGCTTTTTTGAAAGAAATCGACCAATCTCTTCCTTCGTGGGTTACGAATCTATACCATGGAAAGAGACATTGGAAAATCTGGATTTAGTGCTTGTTCTTTCTTTGTACATTGTGAATATCTTCACATGAAAAAAGGTTCTTTTGTTTGTTTAATATGATTCCCATCAGGTTTCTTGAGGCTTCCAATTCAAGCTCAATGAGAGGAGTAAAAGAGGTATAATCGGTCGAAATTTTCCAAGAAAATGAAGTGATCTATCTGAACTTTATTACATAACTTGACCTTAAACTGCAAGAAGAACAAGTAAATTCTCTGAAAAAGTATTATGCAGGATCTAAGAAATTATTGGTTTCATTTTTTCTTGGAGAATAGCCCTCCGATCAAAGGGATCAATGGCTTCCTCTTCTTCTTTCGTAGTGAAGGGTGTCTCGCGAGTTTTTCCACAGCTTGTGGACTAGTAGTAACTCGAGTCAAACAAGGTTGATTTGCGAATGTCACGTATCTCTTCTTTTGAAACTCGATTCCTCCTTCTTCATTGAGCTCATATCTAGCTGAGCCTGGGGCAATCTTGACATGTTCGATCTCGAACTCCATCATCAGTTTCTCGATTTCTCGTTCTTTCATTTCCTCCAGTTCCCTCTTTGTTCTTTCAAGCTCCTCTTTAAGAGCACACATGCAATTCGCCATTAGCATACTCTCTTCTCTAGCCTTTTCAAGCTTATATTTCGTCTCTTCCAGCTCAGCTGTAACAGTTCCAAGCCTGGAAGGACCCTTTTCACCATGTATCTGTCACAAATAAACACAGAATGTTAACAGTTCCAGATCCATCCAGTAACAGTTGACGAATATATGGTGATATCTTCAGGAAACTGTTAACAAAGTAGATGCTTGCTTGCTTGACGAATAATCCCCCATTTCTAAAGCTTTAATGGAGGTATCTTCATGGAGAGTAAGGGGTTGATTCCTTATAAAAAAGGCTGAAGAGAAATGAGGAAGAAGTTACCTCGTCCTTGAAGTTGGTGGTAGGAACATGAGCAGCTAAAACTGTGTCACCGAACAAGGCGACGGCTTCTTTAACACAGTTGAATGGTGCTCTGGTATCGATTTCGGCCCTATCGATCATCACAGGTCCCCCTTCACAGTCCATGCTGATGATCAACTGATATTGGGAGAGAAATGAAGATGGAGATAAGTAAAGATATCTGTGAGAGACAAAAGAAACAATAAGGTGACAAGGGAAGGGAGTTTGGTTGCTTGGCGTCCACTTCACTAGAATGTGTTTATATTAAATGGGCTTCGCCAGTTTTATTTGGTGCAAGAGAGGGACTCTTTAACTATTCCCAACAGATCAAAGTACCCGCAATATATTTCACCGTTTCAGTTCCAGGCCCCTCCTCTACCTTGCTTCATCAGCCCTCAATGCCTAATATTTTATGTATACAAAGCCAAAGCCAAAGACTAAAAATAAAAATCTATCGAATATTTAAAACATAAAATTTGAATTTTAACAAACACATGTTTGTAAATGAATAATGACTTATTCGTATTTTGATTTTTTAAAATATTTATGATATTTTAATTTAACATTTAATATTTCTTTTATTAAAATTTTAAGTACCGAAACTTATTATGCTATTTATTATTTATATTATAATATTATTTATTATTATAAATTAAATTTATATATCGAGTAAAAAGTATGAGATATAAAATGAATTCTTATATATTACAAATTTTAAAAATAAATTGAATCGAATTGAGTGATCAAAACGGAATAAAAAACTTATGTTTAGTAGTGATGATTTTAAAAATTTGCGTGACCAATATGAAACAACATACATAATAGAGTGCCTAATATATAATTTGCACGTATTTTTTAATGAAGTTAATTGTTTGGAGTAAATGAGATAACGATTTAAATTTCATAAAATAAAACAAAAAAAAATGTTTTAGATGACAACTCAATATAAAATACATAATTTATGGGACAATGATGTATTTGATTATTTATTCAATTCAAAACTGTTTTTTTAATCAAATTTGTTTTATGCAGACATTGTATACCGATAGAAACCCAAGCTTTGGGTTCTTTGAACCCAAAGTGACAGCCCAAATGTTAAGTTTGCACGTCAGTATTATCAACCCTGTCATTTTACTTTATAATACGCCAAATTCAGACCGTTAAACTCCCTTTTCAGATTGCAACGATTTGAAATTTTCTCTCAATTTCAGATTAAAAAATATATCTCTCAATCTTCTTCTTCTTCTTCTTCTTCTTCTTCCTGTCCTTGTAATTCAACTATCAGGAAAGCCACAAATGGGAGCGAAAACGCGGTCTCAAAACTCATCAGAGCGTCAAAAGTGGGATAAAGTCTTTGAGGGTTTAGTTAAGATGCTTAAAACCCAGCAACAGCAGCTTGAAACTTTGGCTAAAGAAAGAATTATTCTCGAAGACCGGATCAAGATGCAATATGAACGGTGGGTCTCTGATGTTCGCCTTTATGAAGATCACATTTCTCAGGTATGATTTCTCAATTTAGGGTTTTGACTTTATTATTATTATTAGTATTGCTTCACCTAATTGAGGTGTAATATGGGGGTTGTTATATTTTTATATTTAGATGAAAAGTGAGTTGCAAACGGAAGAGATGGCTCGTGTGGTTGAGGCTACAAAAGCCGATATGATTGTAGGATTGAAGCACAGAGAAGCTTTTCTTTGCAAAATGAAATTAGGTATGTGTTTTTCCTCTTAATATATATATATATATATATTGTTTAATTCACCGAGGAAGAAACAAACTTGTGATTAAGTGATTCCCGCGATGAGTGGTGGCTGTGCAATTTGTATGTGAAATTTTGTGTTGGGTTGAATTCATGTTTGAGGAGTGAACTGATCACATTTTTTTTCTTTTAGTAATATTGACATGGTCTGATGTTTAGATTTTCTCAATTGGCTTATTACAGAGGAAACAGAGGATGAATTGATTGATTTCAGAGCCTGGTTTAACATCCTCAGTAAAACTTCAAAAGTATGTTCCCTTGACTTTTCTCTTTTTATAATTTCATACATTATACAAATTTCTAAACTCTTAATCATTTCATTATATTCAGGGTATTCCTCAAAGGAACCCCATAGAAACCAAAAAAGCAACGTCGGGAGGCAAGCGTAGTGGTTCGAAGTCTGTTACATTCGAGACATCGGAAGATGATGTAAGAAGCCAAAAGCTTATTGACAAAACTCTTGTTTCAGAAAAGAGTTCTCAAGCCACTGCACTTATGGCCGAGAACAACTTTGCATGGAATCAGCTTAATGTTCTGGAAAGTCAGCACAAGGATAAATTAAATAGCAAGCAGTTTGAACTTGAAAAGGCTAACACGAAAATTGAGGCACTGATTTCCAATATGGAGGAGCTGAGGGCATCTAATGCTGAAAGGGATGAAATAATTGAGAGATTAAAAGCTGAATTGTCTCGGAAGGAGGCTGATGCAAGTAGATTCCAAGAAGTTCCTAAAATTTCGCGGAAGGTCGAAATGTCTAGGAAGCCCACAAGTGCTTCTTGTACACCTGTAATAAAACGTTGCGCAGCAGGTGGAAGAACTTCTGTTCTCAGAGGTAAGAATGGCAGCAGAGATAGGTGCAACATTATTCTGAAGACAGAGAACTCTGCCCTTAATGTCACTGATCATAAGGACAATGAAAAGGTACATTTGTTTATCAATCTAGCTTGAGTAATCTCCACTAAGAAAGTTAATGTTCATGATTTCCTCTATTTCCCCAAGTAGAACATGGATGCTATACATTTGTCGACATGTTAATTTGTGGCCGAACTTATTCTGTTATGATGGTAATAGCATATATGAATACTGTGGTTTGTGTGTTCTTATATGAAAGATCTTTCGTCTAACCAAATGTTGAATTCTTACGGTCGTTTAGGGAAGCAGAAGCTCAAAGAGAAAAAAAGATGATGCTATACCCCTTTCTGAAACTCCAAAATTGTTCACTTCTACATTCAAAGTTCCCAGATTGAAAGCCACCTGTCCCAACACAAGGTGACCTGCACTTAATAGCTTGCTCTTCCATGTATTTTTAGTTTATTAAGTTGTAATCTTGGCAGTTGTATTAGCTCCATTCCCTGGAGCAAGTGGTTTGTGTATTGTTATGAACAAAAAGAATTGTGTTTGTGTATAACCAATGACCATTTGTACAAGTCTAAATATAATGACGATTCATTCACCTAATAATGTGAAAATCAGGTCAGTGCTAACAGATGATTTTGCAACTGAAAAGTGAATATTTTGTTAGAAAGACTAAAATTTGATATCATCCATGCCATCAGCATGGCTTTGTATATGACTAGGAGTATGAACTACTAATAAGTCATAAGAAAAGGACCACACTTTATAAATTAACCAGGAATTCACTTGGGGTGTTCATTGTCCGGTTTTAAACGAATTAATCAATCGAACTAAAATTTAGTTAGTTAATCGGTCGATTAATATTCGATTATCGGTTAATTCGATTCGAAATTGATTAATTAATCGACTTAACCAAACTTATTAAACATTTTATATATATTACATACATATTTTAAGCTCAAACCCTTCAAGAATTAAGATCGAATTGTTTTTTAAATTTTAATCACACCAGACCTATTAAACTTACAATATCCAATTAAATTTTAACTTAAATAAAGAAAAAAATACCTCTAGGAAATTCAAATTAATTTAACTAAAAAATTACAAAAGATTTCGATTAATACAGTCGGTTATTAATTGATTTATTTTAAAATTTAATTAATTTTTTTTAATTAATTTTGATTCGATTAACGATAGAAGAAAAAAAAAAGTCAACGAATGCTGGGAATTCCAATTCAATCTATGTCGATTGAACACCTTAATAACTCACACCTTCAGCTTCATTTCTTCATAATAGAGAGAAACACAAAACTCGTGTTTCTTTTGGACTCATTCCATGTAAGGCTGCAGACATATATGGAGAAAAAAGATTTATTCTTACTCAATGATCTTTCGTTTAAGTACCTAACTCTAAGCTTGTTTATTTCACTCAAATTATTTTTTATGTTTCGCGGATATTGTGTAAATTATTTTTTTATTGTTTGATATTTTAATATATATATATTTATTATAAATATAAATAAATAATATTATTCACAATGATAAAACATATTATTATTATTTAACTATTCTAATAATTTAATCAATATTATTTATGATAAAAAATATTTATTACATTATGTACATCAGTATAAGTTCTCTAGATATTTGGTTGAGAGAAAATACTCATATGTTTCGGTGTAAGTTGAACTATTATAAAATAAAAAATATATATTTGCTACATTAATCTAAAATATGAAGATTTTAAAAAAATTAGAGAAGATTTGAATAAAAAAGTTTAATAGTTCTTGGGCCCTCAAACTTTTTTATAATTAACTGAAAAAAATTTAAAGCGGAAATTAAAAATATTTTATCAAAAATTAAATACTAAAATATTCTATGAAAATTCAAAGGGAATTATATAAACCAATTTATTTTAAGTCGATTAAATATTAAAAAAATATGGATAATAATTTTGAAAAATAATTTATATGAGACAAACAAAGACTAATTATATTTTGGGTTGTGGACATCAATTGAACATTTATTTACCGAACGACGCTGTTTCGGTATTGAAACGCGTGCCTGGTTAGGGCTTAGAGGGCTATTCGGTCTTCTACCTTTTCAGTAGTCCGAAGCTCAGTGGGATTTTACTTTTATATTCTGCGCCGTGCCAGTTGGGAATTCACAGTCCTTTCATTCTTTCTCTCTATTTTTTGGAGGGTACTCGTTTATTTTGCAGAAGATTTAAGGAGGCCATCCGAGGATTCAAAGCCAATGAGAATGGAGGAACCCGAAGATGATAATGAGGACAAAAAAAGCTTGACTTCCATGGCGGATAACCGTAAGAAGAAACCCTCAAGTAATGGCAACAATACTTCTGTTTCTAACTCGAAATCGCATCCCAAAGAAGCTAAAGTGAAGAAAGAAGAGCCCGTAGACGATGATGATGAAGACCAAGACTTTAAAATGCCCATCAAGGGTTCTTCATCTGGGTCACGCGCCAAATCAACCAAGCTCAAAAAGGAAGAGGAGAGTGATGGTGAAGATGAAAAACCCATCTCCAAACGAAGCGGAGCCAAAGCAAACAAGCCCAAAATCGAAGAGAGCGACGATGAAGATGAAAAACCCATCTCCAAAAGAAGCTCCGCTACTAAAGCAGATAAGGTTTTTTTCCTCTTAGCTTTCCCTTTGTTAAAAAAACTTTTTTGTTTGGTATTTGCAGGGAAAATATAATGCGGTTGATTGTTTTTGCTATAAACTTTGAAGGAAAAGGAGCTGAGGAAAAAGAAGAAAAAGGGGGAAGAAAAGAAAGCGGCAGATGGGAAGGAAAAGAAGCGGGAGAAGAAGGTTTATGATTTGCCTGGTCAGAAGAGAGATCCTCCTGAGGAGGTAATTGGACTTTAAACAATTTTTTTTGTTTTATTTATTTCCTGTTTTTGAGTAATTTATCATTGTTTTCATTGCTCAACCGCAGAGGGATCCGCTGCGGATATTTTATGAGACAATGTACCAGCAAATCCCTCATAGTGAAATGGCACAAGTCTGGTAAGACATAATTCCCCAACATTAACATTCTTATGGATAATGTAGTGCATTTGTATGGTGTGTTGTAGTAGTTCTTGTAATGTATGCAATATAAGGACAGTGAATATTTAGAAGAAATCTTTTTTATCGACCATTGGTGCTGTAGTCTCATTTTTTTGAAAACTAAAAGTTGTTTCTGCTACTTTCCATGAGAAAAGATGTGCTTGAATGCTTTGATAGCTTTGCCTTGTGTTTGGTGCAGTTGAGAATGGTGAATAAGCAAATATTTGATGATAAACTTAATTAGAATCAAGAAAGAACTAGGATCTAGGACCTTTCTCTGAAATGGTGAACAATGAAATGGACATTTCTTTCTCAAGTGGATTTAATGCAACTTCTAGTGTGTTCTTCAGGTTTTGGTTCTATTGATGGTGTTTCATTTTCTTTTCGAATTCCTCATTCTGTATCCAAATTCCAAGCCACTGAATTTTCTTTTCTAATATGCATAATTTTTTATTTTGTTCTTTCTAGTTCCCATTATGGATCCTTTGCCCAAACCGCATACTTTGTTGCAATGAGCTCATTGGTCTTAAAGAAAATTAATTGTGTATTTGAAACTGCTAGTATTATTATGTCTCATTGTCTGTAACCCTGCTTTGTGCAATTCATGAAAATTTTCTTTGGAATCTGTTTCAGAGTGTTATATAATCCACTGATTCCCTACCTTAATAATTTTTCTTTCAATTCAATAACCTATCTGAAGCCTCCGACAAGTACAGTTTTTCCAACTCAGATGAAAGTGTCATACTGCAATAACTTGCTACATTGACGATGATGAATTTTGCTTCTATTATCTGTTCATTTTAAACAGTGTCACCTCTTTATACCTATTCCGTTCTACCAACTCATTGGTATAGTATGAGTGGGACTCAATTAAACTCATTTTACGCAACAAATATCTCTCTGCTTAACTTATTTCTTTCGTCTTGGAATACATATTTTCTGTTTACTGTTATTCTTTGGAATGCATTTTCAGAGAAACATGCTTTCATATGTAATTGCAGGATGATGGAGTCTGGTTTGCTCCCCCTTGCTGAAGCAAAGAAAGTCTTTGAAAAGAAACAAAAGAAGATTCTACAGCAAAAGCTTACTTCCCCCGTCAAAGCTGTTTCAGCTACAAAGTCTGTCACTGTTAAGAAAACTCCTACCGTATCTCCGGGTTCTTCGAATAAAAATAAAACTGATTCCAAGGTTGCCCCAAAGCAGACCAAGAAACGCATGGCTGAAGAAAGTGAAAGCTCCGATGATGATTTCGTGAATACTTTGGCCAGTAGAATGAAGAAACAGAGAGCAAACTAATTATGTTTTCCCACCATAACTGATTGTTTCTAGCTTATTCTGTCGTGGTACTCCACTCATTTGATCTTCGTTGATTAGTTGTACCAATACTAATTTGATTCCCGCCTGATTGAACTGATCGTAAGTGATCATTACATTGTTTAGTTAACATGGAATGGAAGAACTAGTTTCGAAAGAAAGAACGGCAAGCAGTAAAAACCGGGCATGTTAGAACGACAATGCCAATGATCAGGGTGTGGTCGGGTTTCTAAGGTCTCGCTCTCCAAGTATTATAATTAATGTCGGAGAACACATTCTTATACTCCCTTTAAAATCAAATGCTACTTTGCCATGTCATAATCCATTATGAGTGTCAGAAGTGTAACGATCAACATTAGATTTTGTTAGTGATCAGATTGTTTTTTCCCTTCAGTTTAAGGGTCTTATTAAGTATAGAAAATAAGAATCGCATTGATTTTTCTTACAAAAGCTTAAGAACTTTAGATACATTAAATCAGAATAAAATTGTTAGGATAATTTGAACTCACTCGTATAGGTTAAGTACATAAGTATATGAATAAATAAAGAAACCATGTGATTTATATTGAAAAGAATGGTGTTACTTTAAAATTAATGGTTAGCATAGATTGAGAAAATAAGGTAACAGAAATAAAATAGAATTTGATCATGTCGTGATAAACTATTATTTTAGAAGTAAAATTGTTTTGATTGGTGTAATATTCAAAATGGACTCTATCTTATGTTAATACGATCTTTCAGTTTTATACACCTAAAATTTGAAGTGAAAATTGACGGTACTGCCTTAATTTTTTTTTGAATAATTTCTATCTAGGGGGAAGGAGAATTTTATTCCTAGTAGAGTATTGAACTCACAATCTAAAAGAGAGGAAAGATGTCAACTGAAAACTTTTAATCTAAAGTATTCGTATTTATAGTATTGGAAAAGAGTAAAATACGTCTAATTAGACAGAAAATTAATAATGATTGATGAACTGTTTTAAATAGTCAAATGATTGCTTTTAAGACATGCTTTAATTTTGAACTATTTCCTATAATTGGTCAACCGAATGAATTCATTGGTTTATTAATATTAGAATTCTCATTTTTGAGTTTGCACTTTATGTAGAAAACACTCAAATTTCTTTAGAAAATTACGCTTTTATTTGTAATTCCACAAATCATAAACCATATTAACGGTGGGAGACATGTCTCCCATTGCTTACCAAAAAAAAATTAAATGATCTATAAATATTCAACTAGAATTATATGAACTCATAGTCATAATGATAATAAAATTAAATAATAATCCATTTTTTTTACATTTCAAATAATTGATAATAAAAAAAAAAGTTGATATGAACTCATAGTCATAATGATGTATGATGTCCTCATAGTCATAATCATGACATGAATCCAAAATTGTTCTAAACCCAAAATGATTATTCTGATCCGAATTGCCCGACTCAGATTAACTGACTCGAAACAATGATCTAAAGAAGGTGAAAATCCAGCGGCTATGACTTACAACCCATAAACTATCTACTTGGATCGAATCGCGGCAGAGCTCGTGGGTTCACAAACTGAATCCAATACACTCGAGGAAGCCCAGCCTGCAGAGACGAAATCCTGACCGTCCATATGTTTAACCTTAGTTCTGCTCCAGGGTTTATCCCCGGTTAAGTTAAGCCCTGCCCGTTTCCAGCAACCCTAGCGAACCTTTCCTCGCTTATTTAAGTCTTCTCAAGTTCATTCTCACTACATCTCCCGCTGCAACTTGCGTCTCTCTGACAATAGTTTAATACTATTCTTTCTGCTCTTTTCTATGAAAATTATTTGTTATTTTTTTATATCGTAATACGTTACTCCAAGCAGGAGAATTCTGCATATGATGAGGATCATATTGTGTATGAGAAGCTCGCCAATATTTTAATGCGAGCGATGTTTGTACCTCATACTTCCATGACTCTGATGCGTTGCTCTCTAAATTCATTTATTACTATTTAATTGTTCTAGATTATTTATACTTTACCCTGTTTTAGTCCCTCTCCTTCTCTGGAATAATGTCATATGTCTCTCTTTCAATCGACAACTGCTTCCTGTGAATTTCTTCGGCAATAACTATTTGTCTGCGAAAGGGATTTTTTTTTTCTGTTGTCACTGTTCCTATTTACCACCCACGCTTAATCATAAATTATGATTTTATTTGCTTTTTTTTACAATGAAAATCCCACACCTTAATCCGCAGAATTGCTAGATTTGATTACGATGTCTTTTTAGATAAGAAGATCGTTGTCACATCTCTGCGATGAAAGTACAGTCCAATATGAGTTGGGGAGGAAAATTGAAACTGATGATGGAACACATTATTAGTTAAGAAACATAATTAAATTTTCAGTTTAAGGGTGTTGTAAGTAAAACGGAATTCTTTATTTGGAAGTCTGAAAAAGCCAAACAATTTAATCTCAGGAAATACAAGTGCAAAGCAAGAAAATTTGAACAGTAATAGCCACGCAATTGTTGGTATATAGGCAGGTGTAAGAGTTGCAATTCTCATTCAGCAACGCATTCTAGGACTCGTAGTTCTCCTCAAGAACTTCCTCCTCGTACTTATTGTCATCGTCGACAGTTGCATTCTGGTATTGCTGATACTCTGCCACCAAGTCGTTCATGTTGCTTTCTGCCTCTGAGAACTCCATCTCATCCATTCCCTCACCTGTGTACCAATGCAAGAAGGCCTTGCGACGGAACATTGCAGTGAATTGCTCGCTTACCCTTCTTAAAATTTCCTGGATCGATGTCGAGTTTCCGATGAACGTTGATGACATCTTCAGACCCTGTGGTGGAATATCACAGACACTTGATTTCACATTGTTGGGAATCCACTCCACGAAGTACGCTGAATTCTTGTTTTGAACACTGATCATTTGTTCGTTAACTTCTTTGGTGCTCATCTTGCCCCGGAACGTAGCCGAGGCTGTTAGGTAGCGACCATGGCGAGGGTCAGCAGCACACATCATGTTCTTGTTATCCCACATTTGTTGTGTCAGTTCCGGGACGGTGAGCGATATGTATTGCTGGGAACCACGAGATGTGAGTGGTGCAAACCCAACCATAAAGAAATGAAGACGTGGGAATGGTATTAAGTTCACAGCCAGCTTCCGGAGATCGGAGTTCAATTGTCCAGGGAACCTTAGACAACATGGTACACCACTCATGGTTCAGAGATTAAGTGGTTCAAATCTCCAACTGAAAATTAAAATTGTAATTAATGTTAGGTTCAGCATTTTAAATTGTTCAAATGTTATATATAGCATACCATCCATCAAAATGAAGATTGTCACTCAGCTTGGAGTAGTGACCTTCAGAGTCCGGAAGCAAATATCATAAAGTGCTTCATTGTCAAGGACCATGCATTCATCTGCATTCTCTACCAACTGGTGCACAGAGAGTGTTGCATTATAAGGCTCCACCAGTGTCGGAGACTTTAGGTGAAGGGAAAACAGAGAATGTCATCATCATCCTGTCCGGATATTCCTCTCTGATTTTTTATATCAAGAGAGTTCCCATCCCAGAGCCTGTTCCTCCTCTCTGATTTTTTATATCAAGAGAGTTCCCATCCCAGAGCCTGTTCCTCCTCCTAGTGAATGGCATATCTGGAACCCTGGTCCAGAAGTAAACAAACATAAACAAGTGAGAGCCATCAGCCAATTCAAAAATAGAATACCATTGTTTTAACTAGCCACTCTAAGACTTAGCTAACCTCTAACAGTTAGACTCGAGGATTGTTTTCAAACTAACCCTTCCCTACAAGATTAAGAATTCAGTGGCTAGATAAGATTATTTATCATGCTTATATTCACTAAATACCGGAAGCGAAGGGTTAATCACTTGGAATCCTAAATCCGAATGGAAAATTTCTCCGGCATTGGAGCCACCAAAGATCTAGTAAAAACGATGTTAATAGTTCGAAGTAAGACACGATCCTTCATTGTACTCCGCATTGTGACACACAACGTGTCAAGCCAGACATATATTTGGGGTTCTCTTAATGTGATGGTACTCAATAGTTCACCATTATCATCGTCTACAACATAGTGCTGTACTTTTCACAGTTAAACAGCAATCATACCGTTATCAGATGATGGCAGTAATTGTCCTTTTACTCACTATTTATTCTTCAACTCTCGACTAAAATATAATATGATGCTCATATCGATGCTATAATTTACCGTGTCAATTTTTTAGACATACAATAACCATAATGTTCCTTTTAAAATGTGTGGAACCCATAATAATGTAAAGACAATATTCATATGATAATGAGCTGGTAAGAGTGGCAAGGACACGGGGGCTCCACCAAATGCATTAAAAAAGTTAATCGAATGCCGTAAGACCTAGAGTATTAAAAAAATTTGTCGATACAATGAAGGACAGAAGGATACATGGATGGAGGAATCACTACCACAACAAGAAATAAATCTGCTCATGTAGATAATTTGTATATATCACAAAGGTAGATAAAAGACACATGCCCTCCTTTCCTTTGCCTTCACACCAGACAAAAGGTAGCTTACTAATCACAGCTGAGGGAGTCTCATCTACAAAATATGATTCCTGTTTTAGAAGAGAATTGCAGATTACTACCATTATCCAACTAATGATAAAAGCGTAGATAATTGACGAAAGGAAGCAATCCTTACATATCACTTTTTGCCGTTAATTGTTGTCAGGCATATAATTCAAGGTCTTAGTATTCCTTAAAGTTTATGTGGGAAGCAGTTTACTCTCTTTCTGGTCTGCAGTTTATTGCCTGTTCATGGGATGCTTTCTTGGTGAGGGCTAGCTCTACTTGGAAAGGCAAATCCCTGCTAACAATGGTCATGAAGCTCGTCCTGAATGCACTAGTTTACTTACTCTGGGAGGAAAGGAATAAAAGATTATTCCAAGATCGTTCTAGGTCTGTCAATGATTTACTTAAGGCTATCAAAGATATTGTAAGTCTTCAACTAAGGTATAGGAATTTTAATAGAGTAGATAGTATGAATATTACTCTTTGCAATCATTGGGGTATAGTTGATCATTGATTCTTTTTGTATGTACTGTTCTGTTTCTGAACCATGATTGTATTTTGTAGCATTTTTTATATTTGGATAATAAAATTCTGAATTATCCAAAAAAAATAGTTGGAAAATAAAAAGATGATTAGCAAAAACAGTTGTATAGCGCTGTCACGAAAATGATATGGCAACTCAAATGGATAAGAGTTTCAAACTTTGAGGTAAAAGTGAAACGCCATTGAAAGTATATTAAGAGATTCAACTCCACGAAAAGCCCATGCAGATTTGTAGAAATCTGGATTTCTAAGAAAAAAATGAAGATTATATATATATATATACACCTTGCAAGCAATCACAATACTCAGCCTCTTTACGAACAACATCAAGAACGGAATCAATCAACTCAGCTCCTTCAGTGTAATGACCCTTGGCCCAGTTGTTGCCGGCACCGGATTGTCCAAACACGAAATTATCAGGCCTAAAGATCTGGCCATAAGGACTGGATCTGATACTATACATGGAACCGGGTTCAAGATCCATGAGAACCGCACGAGGAACGTACCTTCCACCGGAATCCTCATTGTAATACACATTGATTCGCTCCAGTTGAAGATCAGAGGTTCCATCTCCTTGTCCTTGGTACATTCCCGTAGGATCCACGTCATGCTCGCCTCAGATGACTTCCCAAAAATTGGCGCCGATTTGGTTCCCGCATTGGCCTCCTTGAACGTGAAGGATTTCTCTCATGGTTTGTGTTTGGCTGAAAAAATGGAAATGGAAACAAAGAGATTTTAGAGGTTTCTTTTTATTTGTTTTGGCGATGGAAAAGCGGAGGGAAATGCTAATAATATAGGGCTGAGAATGAACATCGTATTTTGAAGGATTGTCTGTCACGAGTCATGAGCAGGACAGTTTGACAAGGGTGAAGTGCGCTTCCTTTAGGAGAGTTTGTTAAGGGACGCGCCATTTCACAAATTCTGCAGAATATTTCGGAATTTCTATTTTTCACCCTGCGAGCTTGATTAATTATGGTGTATTCGAAACAATCATTTTAACTGAATTGTTTAGTAAATCGAGTGGTTATACCAAAAAAATCTCTTTATAGTGTAATGGTAATTAAATCAAAATATTTGACCTTTTAATTTTTTGTTCTTTATTATAGATTATTAATATACAAAATATATTTATTATTTTTAAAATTATTAGTAAATTCAAATATCTTAAAACTACGTAAAAAAGTAGGACATTATCTTGTTGATGTTTGATTTAAAATTCATTTAAATATAATTATTAATCAATTGATTTAAAGAGGTAATGTATTAAATTCTTTAAATAAAATTTAAAGTTTGAATTCTAATATTAAAAAATATTTCATATCTAATTTAAGTTAATAGATTAAATATCTATAATTATATTAATTTTATACTAATCATCATTAGATTTGGAATTTCCAAATTTATTGACCATTTGTTTTGTGTTTTTTTATTAATAATTTAATATTGGCCATTTGTTTCTTAGGTCCCAATTGGCCCAACAAGCTCCAATAGTTATGCTTCTAATTTGAACAGTAATGGTCCTGAAACAATCAAATGACCCTCGTCATCCTTTTTCTATTTAGTAAATTTATATTTTGAAATTTAATTTTAATTTTAAAATGTAATTTGATATTTTTTAAGTATTTAAATTTAAATATTAGGTTCAATTTAGTAATGAGTCCCTTGTTATTGGTTTGTTTTGTATGCTTCTTCATAAATAACATACAAAACTCTTTCAAAAAAAATGTATGAATTTAACTTGTTAATTCAAAAAGATAATAAAAATTTATTTTTAATTTCACATTAATATGTACGATAAGTAATTTATTTGAACATAAATCCACGTTTGAATACTATTTTAAACCTCAAAACCAGGTTTGGGTACCTAATGGACAAATAAATTAGACACCCAACTGAATTTTGAAGCCAATTTTATATAACTAATCGAACTAGAAAATTTAGACATCATTGTTTTGGGTGTAGTGTACGTCAAGTGGTTGAAATTCAATATCTTTTAATACGATATATATATATATATGATAAATAGTTTTTAATTTAGATAACTCTATCCGTCAAGCTTGAGATTTTAGTTTTTTTATGATAGTCCCTCGTTTATTGCGACTTAACTAATAAATAAACTCATTTCATTAGAAATCTAAGTATTTGCTATTGCATAATAAATTAATTTTAAAATAAGATAAGATGCTTCATAAAGCAAACTCAATTCATATATCAAAATTATACGTTTACCCACCTTTGTTCAAAAATTTTAACGGAAATCGACTCAAATTATCATTTGGATAAATATATATTTTGATATTTGAATAGATTTTATCTATCCTACAATCAACTTAAAATATATGTTTATTCACCCCACTCAGATATTTGAGTAAATATAGTTTAAGTCAATTTCATTTGAAAAAACTGAATGGATTGAGAAACATTTTAATATTTGAGTATGTTTTTATCTTATGTAGTTAAAAAAAACACAGTATCATTAATAATTATTTAATTAATTTTAAAATAAATATATTTTCATAAAGTTACCCACATATTAATTAAATTATAATAATTTGAGTAAACATATATTTTGCTCTAAATATAATTCGAATTGATTATTTGATAACTTAAATCAATTCAATTTTCTCAACTAAAACCGACTTAAAATTTGAATTAGGTCCAACTATATATTATTTAACACAAATATATTCATATATTAAATTTTAAATTATAACATGCATCTTCTCTCTTCAACCAATCAAAATTAAGAGATATGGCACGCTCTGTTACGTCAGATAAAGAGACACGGTCAATTACACATACTTTTATCTGTTATGATCGAAAAGAATACGATTTCTTTAAAAAAATTAAATATTAATCTTATAATTAATTTTAAAATAAATATTTTTCAAAAAAAACTACCCACATATTTTAATTAATCAAACTATAAATCATAGGATGTATTAATGATAAAATAAACCTCATTACAGTCCAAAGAGACCCATGAATTACTGTTTTTTTACAATATTTAGTTTAAATTAATTATTAGTAGTTATGTAAAAAATATCAATCTAAATATTAATGATTATAAGAATAATATTTGATATATCATTTTGTGCTAAATCAAGAAAATAGTTATAATTTTTATTTTTGAAAAAAATAGAAACAAAGAGAAAATAAATAATCAAGATGATGAAATTTCTATTTAGTAAGTTGTAAATGATGAGGGGGAGATATTAATAGAAGCTTACGCTCAAACCGCAATTGTGATTTGTGATGAAATTTCTCCCTTCTTCTTTCCATTCATTTGGCCACATTTCCCCCCTTTTCTTTCTCTCATTTTCTCGACATTTTCTCTCTTTTAACTTTGCTTTTTTCTCTCCAACCTCTCTTTGATCCTTAGGGTTTGCCTCGTGGAGACAAATGATGAAGCCTATGGATCCTCATTCTTTGCTTAACAACAACTACAACATCGTCAACCAAATCTGAGAGGTAAAAGAAAACGATTTTCAAATTTTGTAGAAAAATAAAAATAATATCCGACAAAGGAGTAAAAAAATAGGCATTTGGCGGTTTTTTCGTAGGGCGGCGAAGGAGTATGAGCGCCTCCAGATTCATTAAATGTGTCACCGTCGGCGATGGCGCCGTCGGAAAGACTTGCCTACTGATTTCCTACACCAGCAATACTTTTCCTACGGTGAGTCTGTTTCCTGCATTTTCGGATCTTTGTTGCTTGATCGAATGATTTGTTAGCATTTTAAATCTTCCGTTTGCTTGAAGCTGAATTTATGCATATATGGATAGCATCAATTTAATGTGTAAAACTCTATAATTTTGATTTGATTTAAGATCATTGGATAAAATGTAAATTAATGTCTGACATTAACTCTTTGTGCTTCGACTGTTCTTTATTTCTGCAACTTTGAATTTCCTCGGAAAATTTAGCTGTCTTTTATAAATGCTGTCAAGATTGCTGTTAATTCTATACAATGTAGGCATATCAGATGCAATCTGATCTCCTTTCAATTAATGGAAATTCCTTTACAATTTAAACCGAGATTGGTGCTTTATGCTCCTGCTACTGATTTTCTTTATTGGATACATTATTCTGGTAACAGGATTATGTCCCAACTGTTTTCGATAATTTCAGTGCAAATGTTGTTGTGGATGGCAATACGGTCAACATAGGTTTATGGGATACTGCCGGTAATTTGGATAACAGCTTCTGAAAGTCCTCTTCTATTATTTTGTTTTCTTTTTTGCTTTTGGTTCTGATTTCGTTTCCTTGGAAACAGGTCAGGAGGATTACAATAGATTAAGACCACTGAGCTATCGTGGGGCTGATGTCTTTATTCTTGCATTTTCTCTCATCAGCAAGGCCAGTTATGAAAACGTCGCCAAGAAGGTTGAACCTTCAAATGTCTTCTCTTTTGAGATAATAATAATTTGGTACATTATATCTGCAATGCATGTCCCTACAATCCATGAGTGTTTCTTTCTTTACATTTCAGTGGATTCCTGAATTAAAGCATTACGCACCTGGTGTTCCAATAGTACTTGTTGGAACTAAGCTTGGTATGATTCTTAATCTCGGGATAATGAGATTCTTATATATGATTTCAGTTTACAAGTGAATGAACTATTCTCAAATTAGTGGAGTACCCTTTTACTAATATTAATGCTTTCTACTCTTTGCTCCTGCAGATCTTCGGGACGATGAGCAATTCTTAGCAGAACATCCGGCTGCAGTACCTATATCCACGACTCAGGTGCATATCTAAACGTTATTAATTATCATTATTATTTGGTGGAATATGTTTCATTTATTTGAATATTTGTGTTGAATTTCTTTTTTTCTTGAGGGAGAGGAATTAAGGAAACAGATAGAGTCGCCTGCCTACATCGAATGTAGTTCAAAGACACAACAGGTTAAATATTTCTCTAAATGCACTTCATGTTTTTCAACCGAAAAACTGTGTTGAAGCCTCCCTTCTAGCTCCCATAAAGGTTTTTTGTGAATGCCTTACTGCAGAATGTGAAGGCAGTCTTTGATGCGGCGATTAAGGTAGTGCTCCAGCCTCCCAAAAAGGTTAAGAAAAAGTCATATGGTGGCTGCTCAGTATTATGATCAATAGAACATTAAAGTCTTACAGAGATGGAGGACCTGTCAGCTTCTTGTTACTGTCAATTTTTTTTTAATTTTTTTAATTTTTTTGGTATAAGCAGTAAGCCCATCATGTATAGTCACAAACTGAAATTCCAGATATTTCTTTGAAAGCATTATTAGGTGGTATGTTTGGTGTTTTAGTTATTTTTTAATGGTTCATATGTAATTGATGATAAGCATTTCTTGTTATATAGTTAAACTGCACTCGTGTATTAACCAGATGTGAAGAATACCCACCACCCTGTCCCTGTTATCAAATTACAGTGTTCTTGCATGATGTTTAATGGTTCATTTTGGTTCATCAACGCATGCATTCTCCACTTCACGGATCCCAACAAAACTAAAGAAAGTCCCGACTAAAATACCATGAATGATGAACCACCCAAACTACATATTCGGATATTCCTAATATTCGAACTGTCGGTTGCCATTTACCAAGGAGGTTATGGCATTGGGACATGCACTTTAAACAGTCTTTACTTTTGATATTATCCTAGATAATCGACACGTGTTATAATGGATTGAAATAGACATATAACTGTCCGTGCACGACAAACAAGAAATTAGATATTATCTTCATCATCATCCACTTTCGTTTTGAAATGGACCCAAGGAGCTAAGAAAAGGTCAGCTTTTTTTCTTTCTTTCAAGAAACGACACCGTTACACCATATCAGCTTCAACCCCTATTATTTAGTAATAAATCTCCGTAGACGCCTCAATTAAGTTGTTACTTTAAAACCCTATCAGCAGCCACCAGATTCTCTTCTAATTCCATCAGCAGCAGCGCCTCCAGAGCCAACTCTTTTAATTATTAACCGAGTGCGGATTGTGGGGTGGACCTGGAGGATATGGCGATATCAGATGCGGTGATTGGGAATTTGATGACGATCTACCTGGCAGTCATAGCGGGGATAAAGGCATATGGTTTGGTGAGTGGGCGGAGCTTTGGTGGTGGGTTCGTGCTGATGCTGTCGACCACGGTGGTGGGTTTCATCTTGGTCGGCACGCTGACGTGGGACGTCACCCGTAAAGCCACGTACGCGATTTCCGGCGATCACGCCGCTTCTGTACACGTTCAAGAGATGTGCAAGGGTGGTATTTGCTGGCACGGAGTCGCCGTTCGTTCGCCTGCTTCTCAGGTCCGCTTCAGGATCCCTCAACGAATTCCATACCGTTTGTAAAATCCAATTTAAAAGAGAAGAAGAGTTTTGAAGTTGTAAGATAAAATGGCGTTCTGTTATGTTTTTCTTTTTCTCTTGAATCTTGATCGATTGCGAGGGAATAAAAGATTGTGTATAAAGTTGCATAAAACAGCTAACGAAATGAAAGATGCTTTGTGGATAAATAAATCGATCGTCATTTCATTTTCCAACCAAAGCTTATTTAGTTTCTTCCAAGTGATTGAAACAGAGTAGTAGGCCCGGAGAAAAAGCTTAATTTCATTTGTTTAATAACTTTGGTCCGACTACCGACAAGATTCAAAGCCTAATTGGGAACTAGTTTAGAAATTCTGAAAAGAGTCGGTGTGGCATTATTACAGTTTTTTAGGGGTTGATCGTAAAGGGAACCCATGTTATGCATCCGAAACAGTTAAAGTTGAGTCTTTGTAATTCGTGATTGTTGGTTTGTCCGTTTAGAACTAGTCATGGGTCATTCTTTTTTTCTTTTTTTTGCCTTATTTGTGGTATATAATAAAGGATAAAATACATATTTAATCATCCAATAATCACTTTAATTTTATTTTTCATTTAACTATTTTTTCAATATCAACAAATATGTTATTTTTGTTTATTTTATTCACCCACCATTAAAAAGAATAACAAAACTATTGATATAGTATTTTTATTTTTTCAATAATAACAAGACATTACTGTATGATTATATTTCAACATCACTGTTATCTTTTTAATGACGGATAACTAAAATATTTTATAATAACAGGAATAATCGTAAAAACCCTTTTTCAGTGTTAGTGTAATGTTTGCTATTATTATTTTTAGATTAATATGGAGTGAGTACAAAGTAATATTTGATCAAAAACTCTCAATTATTTGATATTGAACACTTGTACTCATAGAATACATAGTGCTCAAATTCGAGACCTCAAGAAACAATAACAATTTTTTAACCACTAAAGTCGCTTGATTCATATGTTGCTATCATTATTTATTGTATATAATATATATGAATAATATTAAAGAATATGGGTAGTAATTATATTTTTATTATCATCAGTAATTGTAGTGTAGCGTAGAAAGTCAAATAATTAATTTTTATGTGATTTTAAAAAATGAAAATAATTATTTATAACGAAATCCACTATTATACTAAACACAAAATATTGTTAAAATAATTAATCTTAATATTATTAATTTGATTATCATATTTTTCGTATTAATATTATTATAGTATGATAATATAATACTAATAAGAAACTTTGTTATATTAATATTTATAAACAAAAAACTATAAAATTTATTATTTATATGATTAGTAATAATAATATTAGTATGTTAAAAATGTTAATGTTATATTACTAATATTTGAAACAATTATTATTGTATTTTATATTTTTAGGAGTATACTATATTATTTAACCTAATAATATCATTTTTGTTTAAAATATTTAAACTATTTTTTTTATCTAAACAAGTACTTAAAACATTGTGATGTGCTAGAGTCTCATTATTGAAGAAAAATTAAACGAAATGACAGATTTTCATTGATTACAAAATACTAATAATTGAGATATCTAAAATGAATAAAAATACCAGGCCAAAGCCTTGGGAGCTATGAAGGCAATAAAAATATAATTTAGTTTTTTTTTTAATTTTAAGCCAACTATATTGCATTTAACATTTAATATTGGGCTGGAAATTGATAACCAGACGTTGGCCCAACTTAGGTGGCTTGATATCGTATCCTCTCGAGTGTCTACGGAATGAGCGCACGATGCCGATATTTGTATTCCATTTGGACCATTTAAAAGTTTCGGTAAGGTGAAAAAAATGTCAGAAATTGAAATTTAAAATAAAATAAAATCGAAACATAAACAATTATTTTCATTTAAAAAAATTATCCTTTTACCAACCAACCACTTGATCCTAGTTGGCGATTGATAAAGAAGATGAGACAAACAAAGAGGCAAAAGATTTATGAAACCGAGGATTATATAATACATAAACAAAAGGTGAGCCATTGGGCCGGCGGCTGGAGATCCTAACACTTCTTTGCTTCTCAAAATGGAGCTGTTAAGGTTCTCCTTAGACTGTTCCTTTTTGGAAACTGATTCGGCGCTGCCGACAACAACTGCAAACAATATCAAACTTTTCCTTTTTAGATCCAACCCAAATATTCATATACATACAAGCAAAACGCAAGCTCATACATCACCTTCACCTGATGTTTTCTAAGCTTGGCATTTTCTTCCTTTAATCGAGCAGCTTCATGTTCCAACTCCTTTCTGTAAGCCTGAGGCACTCGGATAATATCACCAGGACATGTCATAAATAAGATAATGCCATTCGCATTACTTCATTGTGTTAATTTGCGAGGAAAGAACAAGTTTTTTTTTTTGAACAGATTTGTACCAGTTTTCTTGCTCTAGACCGAGCAGATGACTCTCTGTACTTCATGAGCTTATGCCGGCGGTCGTCGTCGTTTTCATTGTGTTGTTGAGCCCTTTTTCTGCACAAGAGCTGGGGTTGCGAGCAAGCGATAGAGTTGCTACAGCGGTAGTGGGTGCTGAGCTTGAGCTGAAGGTTCCAATGTAGTGGAAAGCAGAGCCAGAATTCAAAGTCAATGTGGTTGCAGGAGGTGGTGATAGAGGGCCAAAAAAGGTAGTTTGTTGATTGGGTGATGTTGTTGGAGGTTGAATGTTGAAGGCTGTAGACAAAAAGTCTTGAAAGACGGTGGAAGGAGAAGTGGTGGTATCATTTACAGAAGATTGGCTGATATCTTTCCAGACTTCGTCCATGGAATTTTGTTGCGTAGCTAGATGGTTGGAGGAAGGTGAAGTTGCGGCTGCCGACTTGGGAGGGAGAATGTGGGGGTTTAGAAAAAATCTAAGCAATATGAGGGCAGCTTAAATTGTACTATCCGACACTCCATTATCTTAGTATCTACCGGCCAACCCAGAAATTTCGAAATTGATCTACCTACACCCTCTCATTCAATATCTTTGTTGTCCGTTTATATTATTTTATAAAAGTAATGCTATTATATTTATGAACATATCACTATTGCCGGATAGGTATGATGTAAATAAAAAATCTTTAAATATTAAATTAAATAATCATTTTAGTTTATTTTTTGTTTCGGAGTAAAAGAGTTCTTTGTAGATAAAAGTTATTCTTTAAAAAATATTAACACAATAAAATATTGATGATCAAAATGCTTAAAAAATAAAAATCAAATTGACTATTCAATAAAATATTAGCGGCTTTTGTCCTAAAATAAAATACTAAAGACTAAAATACTCCAAAGTAATTATTTTGATAAATATTGAAAGACTAATTTTAGTATTATATCTATCACATAATACAAAGTTATGTTTTATTGAATGCATCTTTCAAAAGACACATTTTGTATTATACATTTTTATTTTATGTGATACTTTAGTTAACAAATTTTTTTACTTGTATAAAATGTGTATTTAGGTAATTATGTTTTTAGGGATATAAAGATATAATATTAAAATTTACTCTAAATGTTTGATTGAAGAGTCATTTTTAATTTTTATTTTTAAAATACTTTAATTCTCAATGTTTTCTTTTATGTAAAAATGATATTTTTTATGAAAATTGTTACTCGATTAACGGTAAAAATTTATTATTACCGTAACAAATTCTATGTTTAGTATTGACATAACAATATCATATGTACGTAAGTGATGATATGAAAAATTATATATATTAAATGATATATTGAAAGTGGTACTATGACATATATGATAGATTTATAAGTGATAATGTGACATCTCGTCAAGTTAAACATGTAACAATATTATATATGATAGATTTATAAGTGATAATGTGACATATTTTTTTCTTTAAAAAATAAAGAATCTATATATATATATATATATCTCTGTGGAAGTAACATTATTAATATTACGACTTGCATTTGTACGTTAACTCCCTCTATGACTTGTCAACTGCTGCCACTGTCCATGAGCCACAGCAGCAAGAACTGCATTGTTGTCCCGACCATTAAAAGCCGACGCATAAAAGTACATCGCGGTCAACGCCAGGTAGTTAAGCCAAATCAAAATTCAAATCGCATGTTTTTCAGATAAAGACTTCTTTGCAAAACTTTAAAAGTTAACGCATAAAAGTATAATTTTTAAAAAATTGTCAAAACATGATTCCATTTTCTAGCGAACAAAATGAGTGTAATACTCTACATTTATGATTATTTGTCCAAACATAATCCTAGTAGGGATTAAACTTTAAAATTAAGTTTGAAAATATTTGGATATATGGTTTTACAATTGAGGTGATACTATTTTTACAGACTATATTATTAAAGATCAAAAGTTAGATCATTATCATGATATATATCGGTTTATATCTTGAATTGATTGATAATTCAATTATTGTCGTTCCACGTCCACGTCTGATCTCATTTTCTAAGGCAGCAGTTCTTGGGTTCTAGGCTTTTCTAGCTGCCGGATCTATAATAAGTTTAGAGTAAGTACACATCCTCTCTAAAATTTAAATTTTATTCAATTAATTAATTAATGTGTTGGCCTTCAAATTTTACTTTTATCCATCTCGTATAAACATGTGTTACAAGTAGCCATATATATTGTTTTTCTCAAAGGTTCTGAAAGAGCAATGGCGCACGTTAAAGGATTCCTCTGGGTGGAAATTAGCAGGACTAATGGCTCCCGAGTTTTCTGCTGATTCGTCGTTGATCGTGTTCCGATTGCCTTCCCTTTTCCTCGAAGCTCTCGTTTTTCTCTCTCGGTTGTACTGCATTCTTGATGGATTGGAGAAAGTTATTCAAGTGCTCTGAATCTCAAGACCTTGAATATTTTCCCCCAAAAGTTCACGATGGAACTCCGTTTGTGCTTCCCCCTCCAGAGATTCTCGATGCAGGAATTTCCGAATGGAATTTATCACTTGTGGGTCAGTTCCTTGGAGTTACACCGAGCTTTGCCTCATTGCAAAGAATCGTCGACAACCTATGGAGTAAAGCTTTGCTGGGTTCGCGTGTCTAGGTTAGTTATGCTGGCAACAATTTATTTATCTTCTCATTTAATAATAAATCTGCCAGAGATTGGGTTGTTGATAATGGTCTATGGCATGTACAAAACAAAACCCTAATTCTTAAGAAATAGAAACCAAATCTGAAAAGCCTTTGTTTTGATTTAACTAAGATTCCTGTCTGGGTTCATCTATACAATGTACCCTTAGAGCTCTTCTCCCGAGTAGGTCTTAGTTACATCTCTAGTGCCCGTCTCTCGATGGACACAATTACTACTACTAAAACTAGGCTTGAGTTCTCAAAGGTATGTGTTGAAATAGGTGTAAATGATGTCATTCCCAAATACATATAAGTTGCTCACAAAGATGGTCAGAAAACTACAATCTATGTTGAGGTTCCTTGGTTCCCACCTTATTGTAAGAAATGCAAAGTATTTGGACACAATGATAAAGGCTGCCAACTAGGAACCAACTCCAATGTCAATTATGTTGCTTCTCAAGTCTTGAAAAAGAAAGGAGAAATTATTCCTAATTCAGCTATCATTCCTATTGGAGGAGTTGAAGTTTTACAGGAACCAACAATTAAAGACTCTAAGGAAGTTGAGGTCTTAAAACTGTAGGAGGAGTCTGAAGGAATTATCTCAAATTCAACTGACATTCTTGTTGGAGGAGATGAAACTTTTCAGGATCCATCTAGTAAAGACTCTAAGGAAGCTAAAGCCATAATTCTACAGGAGGAGTCAGTAGTTATTGTTACAGACAACCTTGAGCACAATGTTTCTTTTGAAATTACTGAGTCCATGCAACAACAGGTTGAAAATGAAGTTGCTGCTAATGATCAAATAAATTCCAGTCTGTTAAAGCCCCTGTTACCAATAAAACTTCCCAGCCATCAACTTCTAAAAGGTGTAGAGGTAGACCTAGTAAGGAAAATGCAAAGGGCTCTCTGTCAGGATCCAAAACAGATTTGAAGTGCTCAATTCTGTTGAAGAAATACCTAATTTAGAAAACCAAGCAAGGAAGCCTAGAGTTGCATCATTACGAGTTGCTGGTTTGGTTAAAGAGCTTAAATCAAAAAAGAAAGAACAACTTGACAAAGTAAAAAATATTTCAGTTGAAAGTCAAGGGGGATCCATGGGATCACCAACTCTATGATAATTAGTTTTTGGAATGTTAGTCCTCTAAAACAGAATAAAGTGGCCCTTAGAGCCATGCAAAATAAGGTGGATGACCTCTGTCTTTTAGAGACCAGAGTCAAAGTGGATAAATCAGAGGCTATAAGTAGATCTAAATTTTCAAATTGGAATATTTTCTCTAATTATGATCATGCCATTAATGGCAAAATTTGGATGCTTTTGAGGAAGGGAATGGATTTGACTATAATTCAAGTAGCTGATCAATGTATTTTTGCTAAAGGGAAGTTTCATGGCCCGGTGTTCATTTCGGCCATTTATGGAAGTAATGATGGAACCCGTCGTAGGCAGCTTTGGCACAAGATAAATGAAGTTGATTCTACCGTTGATCATTCTCCTTGGGTATTAGGAGGAGATTTTAATATTTTTTTGCATTCTCAAGAAAGTTCTGACCATGATCTTTTAGGCCATTATATTACTCCATATATGAAAGATTTTTAAGAATTCACACAAGAGCTAGCACTGCTCGACCATCCTTTCTTTGGTCCCAAGTTCACTTAGAGAAATAAACAACAAGAATTTTTCTTGCAAGGAAACTTGACAGGGTCATGATTAATCCTAGTTGAGCTCCAGTTTTTCAACATTCCTTTGTTGAGTTCCTTACTCCTGGTATCTCTGATCATAGCATGGTTGTTTTATGGCTTTCTAAAGAGCCTCATGCCTCTAGGCTAAAGCCTTTCAAGTTTTTTAATTTCTGGATTGCCCACCCTAATTTCTTGAGTGTTATTAGACAGTCTTGGTTCCATAATGTCCAAGGCAATCCTATGACAGTCTTGTTTTCAAAGTTGAAAAGACTCAAAATTTGCCTCAAGGGATTTAACAAAGACAATTATAGCAATCTTTCGGACCGTGTTAAATTAAAGAGAATAAAACTGAAAAATCAGCAACTTCTAACTCTTAAAGGTGAGAAAGCCATCGAGAAGGAGCTTGGAATTCAAGAAGAGTTGAAGAATCTTGAAGATATTGAATCTAATATTCTTAAGCAAAAGGCTAAAGTTCATTGGATAAGAGATGGTGACAAAAACACCAAATTTTTTCATTCGATTGTGGCCTTTAAAAATAAGAGGGACACTATAAGAGTACTTGTTGATGATAAATGGAATAGGCTTGAATCTTTTGAAGCCATGTCTAATGAAGTGATTTCGTTCTTCTCAAAGCTTCTTGGTACTTCTGACCATATGGTTAAGGAAATTGATCATGCTCTCCTCAAAGATCTCCTTAATATTTTTTCTCTATTGAAGCTCTTTCTAATCTTGTTAAGGAAGTTACTGTTGTTGAAATTAATAACGCAATCTTCTGCCAAGGCAATGATAAAGCCCCAGGACAGGATGAATTCACTCCCTATTTCTTCAAGAAATCATGGTCTATCGTGGGTGAAGATGTTATTGAAGCTGTCAAATATTTCTTTAGCAATGCTTATATTCATCCGGCTTTTAATTCAACCATTATTGCTCTTATTCCCAAAATTCCAAATCCAAGTGTTGTCAAGGACTTTCGGCCAATCTCTTGCTGCTTAGTTATCTGTAAGACTATCTCTAAAATCCTTGTTAATAGAATGGATGTTTACCTTCCTCAAATTATTTCCTTGAACCTGACTGGTTTTATCAGAGGAAGAAACATTATTGATAATTCACTTCTTGCTCAAGAAATGGTTAAATGTTATGGCAGGAAAGCCATTTCTCCAAGATGCTCTATGAAAAATGATTTACATAAGGTTTTTGATTCATTGCATTGGGGTTTCATCTTATCAATCCTTCAAGCTCTTCAATTTTCTCAAAGATTTATTGATTGGATTGAAGTTTGTTTCTCTCAAGCCAGATATTATATATGCTTCAATGGAACATTAACTGGTTATTTCAAATGAGCTGGAAGGCTGAGACAGGGGGACCCTATTCCCCCTTATTTGTTTGTTCTAGCTATGAACGTTCTTTCTAATTTGCTCAATCTGGCTGCTACTAAAGAACTCTTTGCTTACCACCCAAAATGCAAGAAGATAAGGCTTACTCATCTTTCTTTTGCAGATGATCTCTTGATTTTCTATAAAAGCAATGTCGATTCTATGGTTGGTATCCTTAGTGTACTTGACCATTTCTACCAAGTTTCAGGTCTCAAACTTAACTCTTCCAAAAGTGAGCTCTTTGCTGCAGGTATATCCTCAAGGAATTTAGAGGAAATTAAACTTATTTTTGGTTTTAAGATTGGGATCTTGCCTGTTATATACTTTGGCATTCCTTTTGTTTCACGAAAGCTTACTGTGAAAGATTGTGAACCATTATTTGATAAAATCAAGCAAAGATTACAGTACTGGTCTGGCAGAAACCTTAGTTACGCTGGCAGGCTCGAGCCAATTCGCTCTGTTATGTTTAGTGTCTGTAACTTTTGGTGCAAGCAACTCATCCTTCCAGCTTCGATACTAAAAACAGTGGATCAACTTTGTTCCAGGTTCTTCTGGAAAAGAGCTGATAAATCAACAGCCAGAGCTAGAGTCAGTTGGGATAACATTTGTCTATTGAAGTCTAAAGGAGGTTTGGGACTGAAAAATACTCCCACCTGGAACAGAGCTTGTATCATAAGCATCATTAGGAAGATTATTGTCGGTGATGGATCGCTATGGGTTGCATGGCTTAAATCCTATGTCCTTAAGGAGCACGATTTCTGGAACTTTGAAGCATGATCCAATGTTAACTGGAGCTTCAAAAGAATACTCAAAATGAGATCAACTGCTTATCCTATTATTTCAACTGGACCCTAGCTGATTAGGGAAGTCTGGGATAAGATTCGAATACAGGGGCAGAAAGTTTGCTAGCATTGACTTATTTGGTATCCAATGCATATTCCAAAGCATAGCTTAATTTCTTGAATGGCCATTCTGGACAGGTTACCTACTAGAGACCGATTACAGAGAATGGGATTATGCTCTGAAACTATATGTGTTAACTGCTATCTGTACCAAGAAACACGAGATCATCTTTTGCTTAATGTTCCTTGGTTGTTGGTCTTTGGAAATCTGTCTTAAATCTAAATGGAATGATTTTTACTTCTCTCACTTGGGAAAAAATGGTCTCTCGGGCAAGCACAACTTGGAAAGGGAAGTCTCTAATCACCTCCATCTTGAAGATTTCTTGGAACGCATTTATTTACTCCATTTGGTAGGAAAGAAATCAAAGAATGTTCCAGGGTCGATATAGATCGATCGATATTTAGATTAAAGATATCATTGAAGTTGTTAGTATTAGACTTAGGGGTAAATCTATAAATAGATTTGATAGTACTAATTTTTACCTTTGTAATGCATGTGATATAGTCTAATCAATCTTTTGTTCTTTTGTAATTAGGCTGATTGTTCTTTTGTTAATTGGTTGTAGCAAAACATTACTATTTTAGGTAATAAATTTATGGATTATCCACACACAAAAAACATTTGTTACAACCTTAAAAGTATTTTCAAATTCTAGCTCGAAAGGAAACCTTATATATTACGAAATTTCCGTACAACACAGTATGTCAAAACTATTCGTACGCAAAAAGGACTAGACTCGGGTAATTTTTAGTCACCCTCCTGTTTTATATTTAAGTTGTATCAAACATGATTTTAAATTCTCAAGCAATTACTTTTAAATATTCTATTTAAAGATGATGAGAAAGTATGAAAAGAAGAATATATATAAAGTAAACTACCTATTTAATTACACACGCCTATGATTGCGTTCTTGTTTTGATCACCCTCCTATTTTATATTTAGGTTCTAATGTTCTTTTTATAAATTTTGAAAGAAAAAAAATTAGACTCGAGGGACCAAATATCTTTTAACAAAGATATTTATATATTTAATTTAAAAAAAGCAAAACACTCGGCAGGCAACGAGCTGGAGTAAATATGATTTGTATTCATGATTATTTTGCAACTTTACAGTCTAGCTGGCAGGTAATGCAGCGATCCATTACCTACATCCTCATAAATCTATCAAAATAAGGCATCATATCTTTCTCACTAGTTCAAGTATTTCCAAGCTAAACCATAGGAAAATACAGTACTTCTAAACCAGGTATGTCAAAAGATACAAACACCCATCAAATGAAAGAATATTGATCCGACACCTGAGTCTAAAGGGTACACTTTCCCAGCAAGAGACTCATTACAAGTACCTTTTGTACAGAAAACTTAACCCTTGTATTCTTCAACATGTATCCACTTTGTAGACGACCATTTGTTCCCCGTAATTACAGGGCATCCACCTACAATCACCCATATCACACACTGTTAAATTAGCAATACATCTAAAAGTTGCTTTGATAAAATGAGAAACAAGTTCTGCACATAAGTGTCGAAAATGAATGGCATGACTATGGATAAGAGTTCAAATCTTTTTTTTCATATGGAAATGCAGTCCCTCTTAATCATTCTTGAACCACAACTAATGACATAACGTGAAAAAAAAGGTGGGAAAGGGGGATCGGCTGCAAACCGTGCAAGCTTGAGGGATCTAGTGTGGCATCAGGTCTCATGCTCCAGAACAGCAATGCATCACCCATCTTAGGCTTCACTGCAAGACCCTGTTTAGCACATTCGGACAATTCATTCCACCATGGCACAGCACTAATATTTCCCTTGGCTGCAGGAAATATTGTCTCACCCCCTTCTTCAACATCCGACCTGTACATCAGTAGCATAAATTTTGGTAAGAGGTAACAAATCCTTCTCTCTTTTTTTTAATATAGCAAGAAGTCTATGCAACACTTGATTAGATGTGGAATGCATCATACACATGAAGAGAGCCTGCGAACATACAAATACATAAGCATAGTAGCCATCCTCTGGCCTCCATTTTTAGTGTTGAACTCATCAAGGAAGTAATCGAAGTGTGCATCATATTTCTGTCCAACTTCATAGTGGAGAACTTGAAGACCTTCCCCATGCTCTGTAAATTATAATGTTAACCTTAAGTCATAAAAGAAGAAAAACCCTAAAAGAATATACCATATTTAGAAAAAAAAATTAACTGCAAAACGAATTAAAGGGACATAACAAAACTAGGAAATATATAATTTAGAGTTTAGACACCATTATCTGTAAATAATAATTGCTACCGCAGAAACAGGTGCAATAATATCAGTTTTGCACATGCCTACTAGTGAGGTTAAATTGAAACTCATAACCAGAAGCCTCAAGAAAAGAAAGACATCTCAGCAGATTTTTGCACTAAATAACAAATTATTGGTACTAGAGTAAAACATATTTACATAGTTTTGCTCAGGATTAAAATATCGAACCTGCAGGAATGAAAGTGTAGTCCGCTATCCTTTTTTCTATGTCCCTAATGATTTTATCTTGCCCTCTTCTTAGAAACATACCAGAACTTGTTCTCACCCTGCGAAAAATACATGCTAAATGTCATAAGATGCAACACTAGGTTCGAAGTTGCTCACATAACGGGTCCTCAGATGGCAAGGGTTTCTCAAATAACTTTGAAGAGAAGCATAAAGTAGAGAATCGATGTTTAACATCTCAACATCATATCCTACCATTTGCATATCACAATAAAAGAATAGGTGGGAGGATAGGAAATCCAAACCTGCTATCTTTACTTTTCCCTGTTTTTCTATCAACAACAGTGGATTTTGCCATGTGAGGTTTAGCAAGCTTTATTAGGTACTCACATTCTTCCTTGGACTGTCGAAATGACAAAAAAAGGGGTCACAATCAAGACAAAATACCAGGAAAAACAATGGGTATATAATTTATTATCATCATCATCAGTACTACTTCTGTTATTATAAACAAAGACGAAGAGCAAGACCCCAAACTCAATACACACTAGAAGATTATGAAAAAAACGTGCTCATGCCCAGAATTATACCGATTCAGTAACGAGAAAAGGGTTTTACAAGGTTTCCTTCATAAATTATTCAAGTCATCAAATCCAACAGCATTGCATTTCTAAATATGAGCTGTTACTCCCACTAATTCCCATTAATTACGAAAGCACCTACTACAAGCATAAACAATCAGAAAGGTGAAATTGGCAAATTCAAATTGTTTATACCAAATCAAGGTCACATGAAATCTCGATAAATTTATGTAAAACTAATTTATAAACAAATCGTTTTTTAAGGTTATAAACAATTATTTAAAAAAGGGAAAAGAATATGAAGAAAAATAACCAATAAATTATGGTAAATGAAAGCTCTAGGCTCCCAAGAAAGGACTTCAGTCCACTGCTCCCCTCTTTTCCCCAAGCCTTTCCCCCTGCATCAAAATCCAGCTCAAATATTGAGTCAAATCACCGAAAACACTAATCAAAACATGGCTATTAATCAAAAGAGATCAATGCGTGAGAAATCAAACCACCGCGAATATGTCAAACCTTTCAGAAGCCATGCGTCTATAAGAATTGAGATCATTGGGCGAGGAATCGTCGTTGCTTATCGGAAGAGAGAAGATCCCTAGTCCCAAAAGCATCAATAAAACGACCGTTAACATAAACAACATCGACAACACAAGCGTTACTGTGGACCATTTCTTTGCTTGTAATCGAGAATGTCTCACTTTCGCCATTATTGAATCAAAACAAAAAGCATTCGGCTCAAAACCCTAGAGATCGACCCAATAAAACCAAACCACCAAATCCCAATTTGGCTAGAACTCAGATTCAGAAACGTTGACAAACAAATTTCCTACGGGAAAAATGGAAAACCAACCAAAGGACAAAACTAGGACCATTGAAGGGCGCGACTATAAAATATAACATTTAAAGTAGAGGTTGAGTTATTGTAAAGGTTTGACCGAAATGACAAAATTGTCCTTGTTATGGGAACTATTAGCCAATGATATTGCTTAGAGAATTGTTGAGAGTGGGTATAGTTGTCATTAAAATTTTGCTCGTGGTTTTACTTGTCGGCGGGTTTGATGGGTTCTGAGCGGCACCTGGTTTGACTAGGTGTTTGAACTTTGAAATGCCAAATCTTTCCTTTTGACTTTTACTGTGTCTGTTCAATAGCCATGGAAGCAGCTTCAGATGAAACAAATCGGATCACTCAAAACCCCAGTTTTCGTACATCCAAATGTAAACTGAATCAAATACAAATCATTGTCGTGCCGGCTGGTAATCTGTCTTGTCCTTAGGTCTCTTCCCGTACTTTATGCCTGAATATCAAATCAATGTTTCGTTTCTCTTATTTTCTTTCCATTTTCTCAACAACCAAAACTTTTATTAAGACGAAAAAAAAAGTGAACTGTTGGATTCCCAAATTCGTATGCACAAATTACAGTTGAACAGGAGAAAACGCTTCTATTGTTTCATTAGTAAAACAATTTTAAAAGATAATCCGGCAAAGTAAAGAAATGAATCAGATTCACCCTCTATATCCGCCGCGTCGATCTTTCTCATTCGGCGGCCTCTGCTTCTCTAAGACAGATTGCACTGCATCACGCTCGCCGATAAGCAACCGAGTCACCATTTCCGGATCCTTCTTGAAACAAGCTTCCTTAAAGGGTTAAACTCACTCCTCGCGTTCTCTCGCAATATCTCCCTCCATAGAACGCCACGTGAATCGGGTCATTTGAAGAGCTGGGTAGCACGGAGGATGTCTTGGTAGAGACCCAACGCTCTTGTGAGTCGCTGCCGAGTCAACAGCTCTTCTTTCTCGTCGTTAACGAATTTATCCTTCTTCACCACGGGTCATCGAGAAGCTCCTCCACAGTTTCCGGACCATTGTGCAATAAACGTTGGCTGGAGACGAAACCGTTCCCCGAGACGAGCTTTAAACGAGTCGTAAAATATTGACATTTTCGCATGTAAGCAGTCATTATTGAATTTCTGTATCAGCCTCAAACCTCATTATCCAGGCTGCTTGAAAGTTGAAACAACCGCAGCGAAGCTCAATACGAGAAGCAAAGGGTTGAAAATCGGGTCGGTTTTCGCATTTCAGGCCCAAAAGGGCTGCTCAAAATTTTCTTTAGGCCCAAAATAGCCGACCTGATTTATTTTTATAAAATAATTTTTAACAGTTTTTTATTAATCTTAAAATTATACCTAAATATAGATTTAATATATATATATATATATATATATATATATCATAACAGTATCAATTTTATTATTAATTTTTTTAAAATTTTAAACTTATTCTGTACTTAAATAATACATAAATAATATGATTAAAGTATAATAACTTAAAATGATTAAATTTAAAAATATAAACTAAATGTACAATTTCATATAATATAAATTTTTTATTTTTAAATAATAAAATATAAATAGTATACTTTTGATATTTATTTTATAATAAAGTCTTTATTTTTTTAAAATTTTGAAGTTTTTAAAATATTCGAATTTTGTTGAAAATAATTATAGAAATAATTATATTAATAATAAATAGTATAAAAAATACAATATATATATATATATATATACAGATATTTATAGAATTAATTAAAAATAGTGTTTTTGAAGTTTATTTATTTTTATTTTACATTAGGACTAAATGCATCAGAAAAAGAGGAATTAAAAAAAACTTAATTTGAATAAGAGATTAAAGCTATAAAATTTCTTTTAAAATTGAAAATTTTAATTATTATTTTCTCCTAAAAAAATAATTTTTTCAATTTTAAAAAATGAAAAATAAAATATCTGCACAAAATCCTTCATACAACCCCACTCTAAAATTTGGGTGGAGCACATGCTTGGGAAAATCCAAGTTGGAGTAAGCTAACTCAATGGTGAATGTACTCTCATACTTTAAAAAAGGACTTCATCAATAATCTTCTTTCATGGTATTCTCAGGTAAAGATAGTTGTTGTTTTCATAAACAAATTCTATCAGCAAAAGACAGGGTATGTTGTTTGACAAAGTTCATGTTTGACCTCCATTTCATTATTAGCATATTAGGTTTTGAACTAATCCTGGAATTCTGACTATAAATAAATAAACAAACAAATCTTGAAAGACTGGAAATTTTCAATGTGGAGAATTTCAAACATATATAAAATCCAAAAACTTGATACATTGAAACAAAAAAAACTTGATTAATTACGACTAATTCCATAGCAATCATGATTAACTTAGCTTATAGCCCTAAACATAATACGCACTTTAGTATTATAAAAAGGATTATGGAGAGTTATTAATATATATCTATGCCTTTTGTGTGATTAAGAGGACATATTCCCAAATAAGCTGTTTCTTGTATGATTTGGTCATACCTAAATCCTCAAAGATCAATCCTTCCAAGTTCCCACATTTATCTTCTTCGTTACATATAAAGGAGTTGCCCAAATCCATCGAAGTGTGCAAGTATTTTGACAGAATGAAGAAAGAGGGCAAACCCAGAAACATGATCTTGAAATTTCTGCCAAAAGCAGTTTCGGCTGTTGTCAGTGTGGGCTTTCAGAACCCTCCGTTCAGCCCAAGCAGAGACAAGCGAGCAATTAGTGCAGGCAAAGGGTTGCTGCATTGTCCGATCGTTTCGATAATCCCCGACGAAGCTCGAAGAAAAGCAGAGGCTGGAACCATGGAAACTCAAGAACCAACTTCACCCAAGGTGTCATGCATAGGACAGATAAAGCACAAGAAAAACATCAGAAAAGCTAAGCGTTATTTGAAGGCCGTATCTGAGTCGACGCATAAATATTCTTCTCCTAGAGAAATAAAGAAGCAAGAGAAAGAGTTGGGTGATGACGATAGTGCGCCATCTTTGGGTCAAGTGAAGCGGTTTGCGAGTGGAAGTGATGGTCTTGCTAGTTTTGATTGGACGGCTAATATTGCAGAACACGTGGAAGCAGATCAGCACAGAGATTTTTACTCTTATGAAGAGGAAAGAGAGCATAGTGACCTTGAAGAAGAAGTGATGGTTCCTTTCACAGGGTTGGCTTTGCAGCCAAGGAAAGAAATTAACATATGGAAAAGAAGAGCCACGAATCCACCAACGCCTCTTCAGTTGAAATCCTAATGCGCTAATTGATTTTACATCCTAATGCGCTAATTGATTTTACTGATTCATTTCCTTTGATAACGGTATATTTGGTAAAAATATGAAAAACAATTAAAAAAAATATTTTTTAATTCAAATATATTTTAACTTATTATTTTCTCTCCAGTTAAAACTTAATTATTTTATTTTTATTTTAAGAATTTATTTTTTTCATTTTTTAAAATATTTTTTTAAACAAAAAAAAAAGGTCAAAGTACAACAAAGACAATAAAATTTAACATGAAAACTCAAATGACAGGAAGAAAATCAAAATTAAAATTTTCCCTTGAATACATGTATCGTCTTTAAAAAAAACTAGCAACTATTATTAATCTATACTATTCGAACTTAAATGCAACATCGTGTATATGTGGAGATTAAGACAACTAATCTAACAAATTACATCGTAAAAAACTACCATAAAAAGGATCTAACTATACAAGATCATTGACATTTCTTTGTCATGAGGTATGTTGTGATAAATGCAAGACGAAACGCCAAACTTTCATAATGATAGATAAAATTGTACCATAAAAGTAATATTGTTATATCATTTTAGGAGGAAACTAAAGAATCACTTTAGAAAAAATAAAATAAATTAAAATAAAAAATAAAGTCAAATTATTAATACCATTAATATTATGTTATTTTTTATAAACATTAAAATAATTTAAAATAAAAAATAAAGTCAAATTATTAATACCATTAAAATTATGTTAATCTTTTTCATAAATTTAAAGTTAGTTAACAAAATAAAATATCACATAATATTTTTTAAATTTTAAAATTAATTAAAAATACGTTTATATTTATAAATTTATGTGTTAGGTTAATTAGTGATTCTAAATAAAGTATTTTAGTATTAACAAGGGTACTTAAGTAGGAATGATGATGAAAGATGAACAACAAACAATTTGGAAGAAAAATAAGTATTAAATTAATAGAAATTTTAAATATAAAAAATAAATTTTATTAAACTATTTTAAATTATAATTAAATTGATAATATATATAAATTTTGAAGATCAAAACTATTAATTCTATTGAACCATTTAACTATTTTATCTAATATTTAATAGCCCACTAACGTATTTGCAATAATATTTTAAAAAACATGACTCGTTAATAATTTGATTAATAGAGTGACCTAAAATGCAATTTATTCTTATTTTTATTAAATATTTTTTACACTTTGATAATCTGCTTCGGTCAACTAAGCACGTATTCCTTTTTTGATAGGCAAATGATCACGTGCGATAGTCTTAATATACGGTTAAAAAAATATTATTGATTTTGTTATTATTTAAATAATAAAACCAGTAAAAATTACTAAAAATATTATTATTTCTATCGGTTTTATTATTTTTTCTATTGATTTTATTATTATTGGGTACTTTACTAAATATGTTAAAAAATATTAATATTTTAAATAGAAAGAATAATATTTTAGGTAATTTTTTTATCAATTTTATTATTTAAATAATAATAAAACTATTAACATGTTTTTTTAATTATATATTAAATGTCTTCACATTTTAATTACATTTCCTTTCTTTTAAGAAGGAAGTTGACCCATTAATTCTATTAGTTATTCGAAATCTTGAAGTTTGAATAAGGCCGTGGCTGAACCATTTTAATTGAGGAAATCAAGTTCCTATGACTATTCAACCTCGATTGCTTGTACAACTTACTTATTTTTTAAAGTAGCGAGTTATTATTATTTTTTAATAGTACAAGAGGATTATAAAGATAGTATTTATAGAGGTGTAAATAAATAGAACGTCTAGTAAACTATTCGTATAACGTTCGTTTGTTAAGGTAAATAAGTGAATATGAACAAAAAAATTTATGTACATTTAATAAACAAACGAAAACTAACAAATGTGTGTTTAGTTCGTTTATGTTCACAAACAAACTCGTTTATGAGCTTATTTATCGACTTGTTCATTTACGTTCATGAACAAGCTCATCTACCCATTTCTCCTTTTCCTTTTCTTTTATTCATTATTTTTTGTTGCCCTCTCAATTCCAAGGCTTTATCTTGACTAATCCAACATGCGTTGCACACTTGGCTTTGGTGGTTGAGTCTCCTAATAGGGATTTTATGCATACACAATGACTCGAACTCGAGATATTACTTAAGTGATATAAAGATGCTTACCACTTGAACCAACCCATGTTGGTCTTTTCTTTTCTTCATTTTAAATATTGATGAAAGTATGGATTAATTTGAACACATTGTAAAAATTGAAATTTAAACTATAAATTTTAAGAAGTCTAAACATTAGAGGCATAATTTTACAATATTCTTTAGCTTGCATATGAAAAACTAAAAATTGAGATATAAACCAACGCCAAACGTATATTTCGTGAATGTTAAATGAATATGTTTACGAAAATTAAACGAATATATTCGCAAATAATAAATAAATGAACGCAAACACGATATTAAAAATTCAAATGAACACGAACCGAACACCTTAAAAAATAAACAAACGAACACGAACATTACCTTATTCGTTTAAGTGGTAATTCGTACAAATTTTATTCATTTATACCCCTAAGTTATTTAGGTGATATTTAGATAGAAAAACCGGTAATTAATAGTTAGTACTCATATTTGAATAAAAATCCTTAATTACTTTTAGGATCCAATATTGTTTTTGAAAAAAATAGAGAATTAAAATTAAGATCCAATATTATTTTTTTAGAAAATGGAGGATTGACCATTGTGATTCAAAATACTCCGGGAGAAAACATTGAAAGATCCAACGAAATTGTGGCCCCATATGTCCTCTTATACGTATTGCTAATAATACACAAAATATGACAAAAGGAGCAGAAAGGCAAGCTGACCAGATTTGAGGGCGATTTGACTTAATTGACCTTTTTTTTTTTTTTGAAATTCTTCTGTTCTAATATCCGTTGATCAATATTTCTTGATTTAGCACTCTTTCGATTGAAGTGGCACAAAGACACATCCCGGGGACGCATTTTACCTGGATTTATGCTGAGTCGGATGCCATGTGTGAAAGGTGAATCCTCGGGATGCGCTTTCACGGGATTATGCTGGATCGGACGCCATGTGGGGAAGGCGCATCCCCGGGGACGCGACTTCCATTAAATGTCTGTCCCCATCAGTTTTCCTCAACTAACCCTCCTCCTCCCCTATATAAGCCCCCTCAACCATCTCTCATTCTTCACACCAAAATCATCTTCTTCTCTTTTATATAACTCAAATTCTCTAATTATTTGAGTTTAAATTTCTTATTATTGGTAAGAAATTTATTTTTAAGTTATTATTTTTTAAAGAGAAAATAACCTCAGTGACCAAAAATCCCATATAATATACGATTTTAACCAACTTTTTCCGGATTTGCCAAAATGACCAACAAAATCGCAATGCGATCGCTAATTCGCAACGCGATCTCCATTATCGCAAATTCGCGTTGTATTTTCGCAATGCGATAGTTGAAAATCGCGTTGCGATGGTCTACAGTATCGTTGCGATTTTCCCAATTCGCAATGCGAATAAGTAAATCGCAACGCGAATTGGGAAAATCGCAATGCGAATAAGTAAATCGCAACGCGAATTGGGAAAATCGCAATGCGATACTTACTATCGCAATGCGATAATACAAAATCGCAACGAGATACTTACTTTCGCAACGCGATACTGACTTTCGCAACGCGATACTGACTTTCGCAACGCGATTTACATAATCGCAATGCGATTTTCAAAGCGCCATTAGTATCCTGGCCAAGTATTTTATTTTTAAATTCCAAACATGAATATTAATATATTGGAACACTGAACTGTCCACAGTATATCCCGTAATCGCAACTCATAACCTAAAACCTAAAATCACAACTCAGTCCCATCTCCATCTCTCACTCTCTCACCCATCTCCGACGAAATCCGTCCCCATCTCCGGCGAAATCCGTCTATCTAAATCTCTCAGAGCCACCCTCACAATCAGAAATGGAAAATCAACCAAATCAACCAACGAGGGTTAGTTTTTTTAATTATTTTCTTTTTGAAATTTTTGCATTATTATTAGGTTTTTCATATTGAAATTGATGATAAGTTTACTGGTAATTTCAATAATAGATTAACCATTTCACTTAGATTGCTTATTAAATCAACCAAGAATCGCAACGCGAAATGCAAATCGCAACGCGATTTTAGTTTCGCGTTGCGATTCTCTCGTTGCGATAGTCATTTTCGTGTTGCGATTTTCATTTTCAGAAACTATTCTTCTTCTGCAAATTGAAACTTGAATGAATTGCATTACTTCACCAAAAAACAAAGACAAATACGAATTCACAGTGTTGCATATTTAAGTTTGAAGAATAAACTACTACTATTTATGTTTATTATTGTTTTTGGTATATCTTCACAGTGTAGTTTTTGGTATATCTAATTTAGTATGTTTATTGTTTTTGTAGAACTTTTATTCGGCTCAATTGACCTTGAGAAATAAAGTCAGCCTGGCCAAAACAATTGCGTCGAAGCTTTCACCTGCACAAAGAAAAATGTTTGAGGATACATGCTTCGGGCCATGGCTGAAAGTACAACATCCCGGTGGAGATGCGATGTTGACACACCTGTTTCTTCAAACCATGACTAGAGATCTACCAGAGACTATACAACGTCGTGATGAAGAGATATGGTTTGATTTTCCACCGGCGTATACGTGTTTTGGGCGGGAGGAGTTTTGCTTAATCACCGGTCTACGCTTCGGACACGATGATGTAGGTCGGTACACTAGATACATTACCCGCCATCATGGCTATCCCGGGTTTTTCCTGAGCTGGAGAGGCCGAGTCTACACGTAGAAGACCTGACAAGATTTTTGAATAATAAAGATGGTTTTACTCGGATGGATGACGTCGACGTTGTCTGAGTATGCCTTCTAATTCTTTGCATGCCGGCTTTTTAGGCAGAGAGGCCAGACAACCTATTCCAAATGATCTAAT